AATTTAATTAACTTAGTAAAAAATAAATTTTTACTATACAAGTATTATTTCAATTAATTTTATATAATAATAAAAAATCTTAACTATATAAAAATCTAAAATTTTACTTAATCTTAATTATTTTAAAATCTGTTGCATAAATTTTTTTAAACTTTTTTTTATTTAAAAGATATATTCAAAGAATTTATAATTTAATTTTTAGTTTAATATCTTATATATTTAGCTTTGTACAAGTTTTTAAAAAGTGTCTATAATGCCATGGTACCCTACTATAACTAACTAGCTACCTCAATCTCTATTCAACTCCTTCTTCATATCAACAAAAAATTATATTTTAATATATATATGGATTCTATATTGCAGTTCTAGACCCAACCCCAACTTATATATTTATAGCTATCTTTTATATTTAAACCATCCTTCTACATACTTTCTATAGCTAATATTTCTAATATTATTTACCAAACACCTATCTTAAAAATATCTTTTTGGTACTCTAATTGGATTAAATACTATATATATCTATTACATATTCTTAATTTATTTCAAATCTAGATGAGCTTTGGCTACTCTAGTAGGTTTAGACTATAGATAAGTTATTAAATAGACTTAAGCTATTAGGTTGTTCTAGTTATATGTCTAAGTTTTTATTCTTAGCACTAGGCTTAAAATATAAAATCTTTTCTAATTATATAAAAAGTTTTTATTAAGCTTAATAAAGATAAGAGCAAGGTCTTACCTTAAATATTAAAAAAAAAAGAAAAATTTAAAAAAAGTAAATTATCAATTTTCTAAGCAAATTTGTCTAGAATTATACATACTATAAAAATAGATTTTTAAAAATAGCTTATTTTGTCTTCATTAAAGCAAATTAAAATTTTTTATAAAAAAAAGCAAATCTAATTTATATAATTATATTCCTTATAATTTCATCTATTCAAAAAAAATATCAAAAAATTTTATTTTTTAAGTAAAGGTAAATCAAAACAATTTTGTTTTCAAATTTTAATTTCAGGTATTAAAACCTGAAATAATTTTGTCTTTACCTATATCTGGAATTGCTTATAGTTTAAGGGATAATTTAATTTTAATACTTGAAATATATTAAAGAAATAAACAAATTCTGTTAAACTTTTTTAAAAAATTAGAAATAATTACTAATTATATAGGCTTGATATCTTTTCGCTACTAATCTACTTCTATATATACTGTATATAATATATATTTAAATATACATTGGCACTTATAAATAATACAACATGTAATAATTTTTATAATAAAACATAGTAATTATTGAAATTTACACTTTATAATAAAAATTTTTTTTATATTAGAATAAATTTTATTAATTGTAGTTTCTAAAAAATATTTTTTCAAATATTTTGAAAATTTTATAGCAAAGTTGTTTTAAGATCAAAACTCTAGTAAAAAAATTTTATAAATAATACTTATAAAATTTTTTATTAGAGTTTCGACTTTAGAACAACTTTGCTATAAAAATTTTTAAAAAATCCGAAAAAATATTTTTTAGAAACTACAATTGATAAAATTTATTCTGATATAAAAAAATTAATTTTAAAATTTTTTTTTAAAAATTTTTATTATAGAATAAAAATTTCAATAGTTACTACTGTATGTTTTATTATAAAAATTATCACTTATAATTGCCAGTGTATACTATATAATAATTAACATCATATTGGTACCGTGATAATTTTTTTATCAGAGAAATGCCGCGAAACGGGATTGTCTAAAAATTATCGCTGTACCAATGTGATGTATCTCAGAATTATCGTGCTATATTGGTATTATAGTACGGCGGTCATTGATTATAAATTATATATATATACTATTTATGTTTTTTTTAAAAAAACTACTTTAATTCATATAGTGCAATAATATAACTGATAAGTATGAATGACGTCATGCAATATAGCAAGCATGGATGACGAAATAAAAAGAAAGTGATTTATAACATAAATGGCATAAATGGTGTAATACTCATGATCAATACGTAATAGCCGTGCTATAATACTGTATATATAAATATAAATATATATATATATATAGTTTTAATACATATTATATATACAGTATATATATATATTGTAAATTTTATTAATATAAAATTTTTGAAATTTTTTAGTTTTTTTTTTAAATACTTAACGTGGACTATTTAATTATTAAAAAATATATATCAACTATATATAATATATATATATACTATATACTGTATATTTAATAACCATTTTAATAGACCCGTATAAATTTATTCATATATACAGTATATATTTACTATATATATAAAAACGTATCTATGGTGTTTTATCACCTATGTTGCATTATCTAAAAACTAGCTATATAATTAATTAATGTACTCTAAATAAAAATGCTCTGTTTCCAAAAACCCTTTATTCTAATACTAAATACTCACTCACATAAAAAATTTGTGCCAAAAATTTTATATACAAACTGAACAATATATAAAAACATATACAGTAATAGGTGTAAAACCACCATAGGTGCGTTTTATAATAAATGAATTTATTATATATATATAAATATATATCGTACAAAATATCATATAAAAATTCTTTTGTTTTTTTAAAAAGCTATAATATATATAATAGTTTTAAATCTAATTAAAAATTAAACCTATATATATAAAGTTAATTATATAGTTCTTTTATAATCTAGCTAAATTGGTTTTTATAAATGCTTTACAATTAAAAATTAAAGCCGGAAGATTAAGATACGTATTTTTAAAATTCTATATTATATATAATAAACAATTAATTAACTTTGTATGGCCTAATTTAAACTAATTTTAGACTAAATCAGGTAACCGGATTCTAACTCTATTAATTCTAAATAAATAAGTCAAATTTATGTAAAAAGAAGATCAAACGCTACATCCTACAGTCTTTACGCTACATCCTACTTAACGCAACACATGTAGATAGAGATAACAGAACACGTGATTGTGAGAGAAGTTACGCAACAAAATAATACACGCGATCTACTTGGACATATGATATTTAATATGCATGTGATGACCAATTACATTAGAACCTTGATCAACTCTTTTTTGTAATGTATACCAACCGAGGAAACCGATTTTCACATCAACCTTCCGGAACACCTTGGCGACCAGTAACGATTCGACCGCCAGTACCAACCAACCCAAATTTCGTAAATGCGTTTTCAAGCTATGAAAGTGACAGTGATAGTGATAGACCAAGACCTTATAATGTAATATTCGATAGTTCTTCTACTTCACCGGCACTAAGTTCATCAAGTCCTTCACCACAAGAAACGCCAGAAATACCTGGGATAAATGATTCGCCTATAGCAAATATAGAAGAAATAGAAGATTCAGCAGGTTTGTTTTTATTTAGTTTTTAATTTGAGTTGATTCAGAATATATTGAACTTTAACAAATTTATTAAAACATACTAAAAGGCACTTACTTAGAGCCAAATAATGTAGAAACCTCAGGAATGGAACAAGATAATCAACTAACAGTCAATACTTTAGAAGATCAGGATGATTACGAGAACGAAAATGTTCATCCAAATCAAAGTCAAATAGAAAATGGTACGCGATAAACATTTATTATGAAGATAGTTTAAATAATAAGAGCATTTAATATTTATTATTTCTAGTTTTATAGACCCTTTGAAGCAAAATATTGCCTTTTTACGCAAAGCTGTACGACAATTGGAAGATGACGAATGGCAATTTATACAGACCAATAATGAATTTACGAAATTCTAGAGTAAGGATCACTTTCAACTTATTTTGATTTGCATAATATTATAGAATGAGAGAAGAAATCTTTTAATGGGTTTAATAATATTTTGACAATTAATTTGCGGCTAGGATAATCCCGATTATGAAGATTGTGTGGGTTTCATTCCCTAAAGAGAAATAAAAATAATTATTTTATTAATTCGAACGGAATTAACAACGAATAAAATGACAAAATAAACAAAATTAACGAGACAACGAAATAAACGAAAATAAACGGGTATAAACAAAATAAACGAAATAAACAAAATAAACGAAACAAACAAAATGGACGAAATAAACAAAATGAATGAAATAAAGAACCTTTAATTTTACTCAGGAAATGAAAGTAAAATTAGAGATTATAGAAATAGTAAATTTAAAAATTCAAATTTATTTTTTTTTTTAAAAAAAATAATAATTTGTAGATATCAATAAAAAGATTAATTATCAAAAGAATTCATATAATATAAAACTTTTTATCAGTAAATCATTAATAAAGATACTGCGGATCGCCAAATCATTAAAATCATTATTGCCATGTGGCGCATTGATGACATATCGGGAGAAGCGAAAAATAATCTGATGTTAATAGAACACCTGCATCGTACAATAGAACCGAAAGATGCACCTATTACCTTATGTTACAGAAAAGAATGCCTTAAAAAAGCACTTCTTACATATTTACGGAACGTAAAATAGAATTTGTTAATTTATAGAAAAGAAGTCCATAAAATGATTTATTTGTTTTCATCGTCGGAATCACAAGAATTAGAAAATTATTAAGGGTAAAAATTTGATCACTATTTTTTTGTTTTTGGAAGATTGATTGTCAAAGGGATCTTACATTGGTCCCCAATTTGCATGTAAAATTAATCGTATGACAGATTGAAAGTCAGAATATTGAATTTTGAATATTGTTAAGGTGTTAAAATTGATATTAACTATTATGTATAGTGTGATAGCTGTTAGCTTACTGACATCGGTATTACGCATCGTTGCAGACTTTATCTTTCATCAAAGTAATTCGGCGATTTATCATAAGCAACACAATATCAATATTACAATAAAATAAACAATGCAACTTTCGCACAACATATCAGCGCTGTGCTTCTTATTCAGAGCCACGGATCTACATTGAATCTATATATTTAAAAATTTTTCTTTCTCAGTTCTTACTCAGGTCCCTGTGGAATTCATGCACCGACTCCTGCTGTGTTCATAAACTACTAGATACGCAACTATCATCTGTTTTATATTAACTTTATATTGGGTTTTTTATGTTGTGTAACTCTACATTCTTCCTTTTGTGGTATGGTAGCGTTGATTTAAATGACGTAACAGATTCGTTTGTGCCATTAGCTGTTAGAGTTGTGTGCCCTCTTGATCAAATTTTTTTTTTTTTTTTTTTTCCAGAGTCAGTGCAGACCCCCAAACTTTCTTTGCATTTTCTCCTTTGAGAAAAAGGAAAATAACCACTTTGTTTGATCCTACTTACTCTTACCTGTGTCTCTTGAGTCTTTGCCAGCCTGTCTTCAATCTAATCTACTGTAAGTAATAGTTCCACTACAACTTTTTCCTTTCTTACATCCGAAATCTAGCTAGTTCTTCCCTCCTTCTTTTGGTTAACTTCTTTTGAAATTACCGCATTTAAAAAAGGAAAAGAAAAAGGAAAAATTTTTTTTTCAAAAATATATATATTTATGACTTTATTTTATTTTTTATTAAAAATGATATAAAATATGTACCTTAGTATTTTATTCTCTTTTACGTTTTTCTTAACCTCCGCTGTGTATCACAACAGCTGCTTACCTTTCTCGCTTTATATAAACTATTACCGAACCAATCTCGCTCATTTATTTAGTTAATCCCTCTGTACGAGGCAAAAAAGAAGAGTCAAGGGGAGATAATAACGTCTAAATTTTAGTGCGAGTGTGAAAACTAATATCTCTTGAAACGTAACCAAAACTCCCAATGTCGAATATATACAATCATAGACAAATTGTTCCAGGTGGTGGAACCGGTGGTCCGAGTCGTATCAACGAACTTTTAGATGCTTTAAAAAATGAATTTGAAAGTCTTAGCCAGGAGGCTATGACTTATAAAATACAACGCGAAGAATTTGAACATAAAGGTTTGAAATTCTATTTTCCTTCCATTCTTTAATTTGAATTTCTTTATCTTTCTTGTAATTTATTTAAAATTGTTCGAATTCCATGAAATTTACTTGAAATTCGTTCAATTTCGATTTGGTGTGTTCATTCAATTTCTCTTTGTTATTTAACCATTGGTTAATTTATTTTCTGTATTCATTTGCGTGTATTTACTTATTATTGCGTTATGATGACGTTCCCGTTGTCGTACTGTGCAACAATGCACGATTGATCTAAAGTTTAAATTACTTATTAAATTATTCTTATTTATATTAATAATTCATTGTTTTCTATCTTATATAGTTCAACAACAAGCTGAGGAGGTTTCGCTTATTCGTCAAAGTTTATATGAATTACAAGCTACACATAAAGGCATAAAACAACAGTAAGTGTTGGATTAATTTATTATATTTTATTTTTTTTTATTTTTTTTTAAATTATTTTCCTTAAATTTTATTAAATTTACTAAATTCTTTGATCTCTCATTCAATGCTTCATTATACTACTTTTACTCTATTTATTTTAAGGTATGATAACGATCTGCGAAATCTTCAACGTGAAATTGAACAACAAAGGTTGCATCCTCATCATTCTACAAGTACTCATCCTCCTCCTCCTCCATCACATCCCCAACCTCCCCCACCGACCATTGGACAGGGTCAAAGTAATTTGTTTGGTGGTATTATCAGTGGCAATGGCGCCCCTGGTCTTGCTGCTCCTCCTCAAATGTCTATGGATCCTACACAGCAACCAACAAATCAACCTGGTCATCCGGGAAACTATCCTGGTCCAAGTGGTCCTCCTCAGAGTGTCCCACAAACAACTAGCACCGCTCCTTCTCCATATCTTAATGGTGGTGGTGGTCCTCCGGGTTCTTTATCACAACCTCATACTCCTAAACGACCCCGTATAGATGATACTGTTTCAACTCCGGTTCCTCAAAATCCTCTTGGTATGACTCCTGGTTCTCAACAATCTCAACCTGGTTTGTACAGTAATAATGGCATTCCTCCGCCTCAGTCTAGTCAACAAGGTCAACCTCAGTTATCAAATTACATGCCTCCTGTTGGTCCAAGTAGCAAACCTGGTGGTAAAATTCCAAAG